TTCTGATTCCAGATCTTTGCACATTTTGTTGTAATATTTGGCTTTATCTTCTCAAGCTGATCTTTGAAATTTTCTGTTCAGCTCTTGGACCTCCTGATTTCTTCCATTTGCTTTGGTGTCTCTACACTGGAGAGCAAATTTCAGTGTCTCTTCTGACATCCATTTTGACCTTTTTTTTTCTTGTCTTCTTAATGACTTTTTGCTTTCTTCATGTATGATGTTCTTGATTTCATCCCACAACACTTTTGGTCTTCGATCTTTAGCTTAATGTATCAAATCTGATTCATCTGAAGTACTTCAGATGAAGTCTAAATTCAGTTGTGATATATTCAAGGTCCTAATATGGCTCTTGTGGACTTGTTTTCACTTTCTTCAGCTTCAGTTTGAATTTGCATAAGTGTAATTAATGGTCTGTTCCATAGTCTGCCCCTGGCCTTGTTTTCACTGATTATATGGAGTTTTTCTATCGTCTGTTTCCACAGATTATAGTCAGTTTGATTTCTATGTATTCCATCTGGTGAGGTCCATGTATATAGTCATCTCTTATGTTGTGTAAAGAAGGTATTTGAAGTGAGCAAATTATTGGTTTTGCAGAATTCTATCATGCAATCTCCAGCATCATTTCTATCACCAAGGCCCTATTTTCCAACCACTGATCCTTCTTCTTTGCTCCCAACCTTTGCATTCCAATCACCAGTAATGATCAATACATCTTGATTGCATGTTTGATCGATTTCAAGGTTGTGTCATTTGTGTATCGCTAGGTGTTAATGCGTTTTCCTCCAATCCTGATGCTGTTTTATTCCTTCATATAATCCAGCTTCTTGGATTATTTGCTTAGCATACACATTGAATAAGTGTGGTGAAAAGATAGAACCCTGATACATACCTTTCCTGATATGAAACCGTATAGTTTCCCCTTGTTCTGTTCGAATGACTGCCTCTTAGTCTTTGTATGAGCACAGTGAAGTGTTCTAGAATCCCCATTTTCTAAACATTACCCTTAGTTTGCCATGATCCACACAGTTGAGTGTGTCTGATAGTCAGTACCACCCAAGTAAACAAACATCTTTCTGATATTCTGACATCGGGAATGATATCTGTTCCTGGTTCCATGTCCTCTTCTGATTCTGGCTTGAATTTCTGGTAGTCCCCTGTCAGTGTACTCCTGCAAGTGTTTTGAATTATCTTCAGCAAAATTTTACTTGCATGTGCGATTCCAGTCGGTTGACCAGAAGGTTGTCTTCTAAATATCTTGGCACAGAGAAGTACTTCCAGTGTTGCCTCAGTTTGTACTCTCCTGTCAATTCTAGGAGACATTTCAGTTTGCAGTCTCTCCCTGGAGCCATTTCAGTTTGCAGTCTCCTGTCAGTTCTTGGAGACATTTCAGGAGCCATTTCAGTTTGCAGTCTCAGTTCCAGGAGACATTTCAGTTTACACTCTCCCATCAGTTCTCGGAGCCATTTCAGTTTGCACTCTCCCGTCAGTTCTCGGAGACTTTTCAGTTTGCACTCTCCGTCAGTTCCCGGAGACAGTTCAGTTTACACTCTCCTGTCAGTTCTTGGAGACATTTCAGTTTGCACTCTCCCGTCAGTTCCTGGAGCATGGACTTCTGCCTTCATTAACTTTGATTCTTGATCATATACTTCCTCCTGAAATGGTTGAATGTTGACTAACTTACTTTGGTACAGTAACTCTACGTGTATTCCATCTTCTTTTGATGCTTTCTGCATCATTCAGTATTTTTCTCATAGAATCTTTCAGTATTGCAATTCAAGACTTAACAGTTTTTCTGAGTTTTTTCAGCTTGAAAAATGCTGATGGTGTTCTTCCCTTTTGGTTTGTAATTCTAGGTCTTTGTACATTTCATTTTAATACTTTATTTTGTATTTTCTAGCCCTCCCTTTGTTCAGCTCTTTTACTTTATTATTTCTTCCTTTTGCTTTAGTTACTATATCAGAGAGCAAGTGTTAGAGTCTCTTCTTCATTTTGGTTTATTTTTTCTTCTCTTTTTTTTTTAAAAATGACCTTTCAGTTTTTTCCTGTATGTTGCCTCTTGATAACATTTCACAACTCAATTGAACTATGGTCATTATTGTTCATTTCGTCAAATCTGTCCTTGAGTTGGTATCTTAATTTAGGTGGGATGTCTTGCTGTAGGATAAGCATTTGACCGCAGGTTGGTTTGAACCACAGGGTTGGTTGAAATTCAACAACCATTCTTGGGAAACCCTATTCAGGGTCACTATGAGTCAGAACCAATTTGATGGCACTAACAACAACATGCTCAAGTTTATATTAAGACTCTCATGGACTTGTTTTAATTTTCTTCTGCTTCAATTTGAATGAACAAATGAGCAGTTGATGATCTGTTCTGCAATTGGCCCCTGGTTTTGTTTTGACTGAAGATATTGAGCTTCTCCAATGTCTTTTCCTTTATGTAGTTGATTTGACTCCTGTGTTAGTCCATCCAGTGAAGTCATCCATGCATATGTTGTTGTTGTTGTTAAGTGCTGTTGAGTCGGTTCTGAACTATAGCAACCCTGTATAAGGTTTCTGAGGAGTGGCTGGTGGGTTTGAACTGCTGGCCTTGCTGTTCAAACTGCCTCTGTGATCCAGTGCATTATCCTTCAGCACCACACCAGGACTCCATCCGTGTGTGTTGAAGTATTAGTTGCAATGAAGTAGTCGTTGGTCTTTCAAAATTCTGTTAATGTGACCCAATCACCAGTAATTAATCAATATATCGTGATTGCTTATGTAATTTCAGGTTGCAAAAGTTGGTATAATCAGTATACTCATCTTTTACGTTAGTGATTGGTTTGTTCATTTGAATCATAGTCATATTAACCACTCTTCCTTGTAGGCATATGGGTTTTATCCTATCACTGACAGCATTGTATTTCAGCATAGATATTGAAATGTGCTTT